AATGATTAATTGATTAGCCAATAATGACTCATCAAGCCAGTATGTCAGTCAGCCAGAAATATGAAGAATATAATATATAATATAATATGTGCATGTTTGTGCAAGAATCTTACTTGCATTTTTCATTTGGATTACAAGACTCTTGAATTTCCCTCTGGATAAATATAATATCTTTCTATAAATAAAATATCTTTCTATAAATAAAGTATCTTTCTATAAATAAAATATCTTTCTATAAATAAAGTATCCATCTATAAATAAAGTATCTATCTAAAAACCAATGAGAAACAAGCAGGTTCATATTCTAGACTGATACAACCCAACCTGTTGTTGCTATAGAAGTTCCCCTGATATTGTTAATGGTTGTGAAAAGTTATTTGGTTTCAGGCTAAAGGGGGTTGTTCTTTTAGGGTTTATTGTTTGTTTGCACAACATGTTGTACCATTATCTTAAGGTTAGCTGTCACCAGCAGCCTCAGTAACGGTGCAGGAGGGAGTGTCACCTCTGGAGGCTGAGAACTTTCTGGACTTACCCCCTTCACTTCATTGTAACTTGTACACAAATTGCAACGCGTTGTGTAACATATCCTGCAGATAAGGCGTCACTTAGACGCACATTAGCAACTTTAAAAACCCCCCTAAAAAAAACATTTCTCCAGTGCAAGTCGCAGTCCGATGTTGCAGAGAGGAGCCGTCAGTGTTAGCAGCATCAGTTCATACCTGTTGTTAACAAAACAACATTACAAAGTAGGAAAATAAAAAGTTAGCTTACGGCATTAGTTATTAAGAGAAGTTGGCGTAAATCTCGAGATGCAGCTGTGCTTTTGAATAACATAATAATAATAATAATAATAATATAAAATGGATAAAGACAGCAATAACGTTAGCTAGCTTCAACCGTTGCTTTATTTTTTTAACGTAAATTAAGCAGCCGTTGACACTAATGACGTTATCGAATGACCAACGTATTTAACGTCAACTGACTACGTTCCTCTAATTCTTATAAAACCTCTCCGAAAAGTTACTCAACACGTTATTCGCCTACGTATACTCACCTCCGTTAGATTCAGAATATGTTGTTTAATCAGCTTATCGTTAGCGCTGGGTTTTTTTCTTGTTTTTTTTTAATACTGCAGGCTCGTTTTTCACCCTGAGTGGCTGTCGGTCCGTCAGGTCGTCGGTCCCCGCTGTCAGTGAGGTGGGAGCGGCCGCGCCTCCTCAACTAAATTCCCACTCAACGGTCTAGAACCGTCTAGAACGCAGGAGGAGCGGTTCTGGCCAATCACCTGCCGTCAAATCACCGCCTCTATAAATGGTCCAATTAAAAAATTCTGTTTGCTGCTTTCCACAGCAGTTGCTACCAAGATCGGCGGGATGCAGCAGATTTTAAGGGGCTTCTTATGGAGGACCCAAACTGCCAAAATCTAAAATAAATTAGAAATAAATAAATGAGTCATTAAATAAAATAATTATGCCAATAAATACACTAAAATGATTTTAAAAAATAGTTTTAAGCATTAATTTAATTA